ACATTTGACTGGTACTATATATAGAATACAGTATATACATAAACAGAATATATATACATACACATTTTTTGCAATGATCACTCAAATCAAACAAATTAAAAGACGCCATTATTTTATTTGAAAAAAAAAATAAAAAAAATAAAATAAAATAATATATATATATATATTCATTCGATCATATAAGATTTTAAGCTGTCATATGGTCAAGTTACAACGTGCCCCTCAGATGTTACAATGTGTTCCACCTACGGGGCATCTTGTCACATTTCCCTTCTAAGGTAATAAAAACATAACGGTTCATTAAGTAAGGTCTTTATACACCTCTGAAAACATAGTTATGTATATTATATTGCATTTCTGTCAATAGATCGATGTAAATATTACACATTGCACCTTTAAAGGCAGTATTAGTATTTGATTGGTCATCTAATTTCAACAAGTCTGCCCACATGAGGCGACCCACTCCATGACAAATAAAAGCATTTTAAATAGGACACTCATTACATTCTTCAAAAATATCAGAGTTCAGCTTTGAAAAATGAAAACTAACCTATTTGTTCCTCAGTGTCTTCTTGTTTGACTCTGAATGCTTCTTCAATCTTCATGTCTTCACTCTCCTCTTTAATAAACTCCATCTTTTTAATAGTGTGTCACGTGGATCTCTGCTGCTTCAGCAGGAGTTTCTGTGTTTGGACACTTTGTCCTGTTTAAGATGAGGAAAACAGACAGTTAATGGTCTCTGATTGTATTAGCCAAGACCTCCCAAAATCACATCTAAATGACATATTCCACATTCACGAAAACATTTGCAATAGATTCGGAAAACTTGTCATTATTCTTGTTTGTGTTTTCGTTGCATTTACACCACTCTGAACAGCAGATGACGTCAACATTTGGTGTTTCGAAAAGCAACAGTGAATAATTTAGTTCAATTCATTCAGAGTTTAGAAAGTTGCATTTCTCGAATCACAAATTGCCAATGACCAAATCCGTGTTTACAATGAACTGATTCACGATATAGAGAACAAACTAAGAATCGAGAGGGAGTAACATCTTTACCCTTACTGTCTGTTTCTCACAACAATAACGTTAATTAATCCTACATAACGCATTAGAGTAATACAGTCAATAATAATTAAGCTATTTAGCTGTTATTGCAAAAGTATGAAATAAAATGAACGCTTTGTATTGATTTAAACACTTTAAAAGCTTCAAAACACAAACCTTTCTTCAGCCTGATCGCAGACGCCAGAGAGTTGAGAGGTGCGGCGCAGCCTTACAACGTCACATCGCCAGGCAAAATAAAAGTCCCGTTCACAAGTTAAAATCACAAACGTGAATAGAAATCTGCATATAAGCAAATAATACGATGCATTGCGATGCTGACATGAAAGATTCTGTATCAATGCATAAAAACAAACGAATATTAAAAAAACGCAATTAAATATCTGCTTTGCTGTAAGTTGCTTGTGTCCTTTAGAATATGGTTTGCTCATGGCTACGAGAGGTCTGCAGGGGTAGCTACTTTAAAGAACACTTTGTCTGGAAATGTTTTGGAGGCATTTTCAGACCCTTCTAGACACTTATATATGTTGGAATCATTTAGTATCTTGGTTTTTAACGATAATATGATATAACGAAGGACTGCTGTGTTTTATTTCGGTACAGTAACACTATAATATTGGCCAAATATTTTATACACAAATCCCTGATTCAGAAGTTAATTAAAACATTTCTCAGAAGCACTTATATAAATGAAAGGTTAAAATGTAACGGAACAGTTCTCAGTTCTCAATCTCCTTGTAACGTGTTGTGATGTGTTGAGGTTTTTATATTTATTTCATATGATTAAATTGAATGTCAATAGTCTGTCTATATCTGTGCTATATTTGTAACATGGAAATGTAAAAAAAAAAAAAAAAAAAAGTTTAAAAAAGATGCATTTATTTTTTTAAATAAATGTATTTTTAAATGTACATTTCTTAAAAAACAATCAAACAAACATGCAATATGAACTAACAGCGAACTTGTAGTATCCATTAACATGATTGGATTTAATAATTAATAATAATAATAATTTATGCATTTAGCAGAGAGATATATATATATATATATATATATATATATATGCTCTATCTAATGGATTTACTGGATAATGATTAGGAATATGATTTAGAATTAATAATACTAAAAATACTTTTACTCAGTTTCTTCCAGTTAACATATTTTAGAGTTTGACATAATAAGAATGAGGTATTTTAAAATGTATTAATACTTCTCTAGATCTGGAAATTATACTTTTAATATTTCTTATATAGGCCTATCTAGTTTTTTTCCTAGATCTTGGGTACCCAGTTTCTTCAAAGAAAACAAACAGTTGGTGAGGGGTAATTAAAATAAGATATTTTAAGGCTTGTTGTTTTATTTTAAATAATCTGAAGTCATCATGTGGACCTCTTGGAATTTTGCTGATTTTGAACTAGGGGAGTGGGCCGGACCCCCTGGTTAAGAACCACTGCAGTATAAGTACATTGGACAGCATGTTACGACCCTCTCAGCCATGAAATGTTTTGTGTGAATGTTATACAATGTAGGAAACTCAGAAGTGAAGACCAGGAGACTCTGATGTATCTTCAATACTCCTTGGGACTAAATTGATCCTCTTTCTAGTATATAAAAGTATACTTTTAAGTATACTTTAAGTATAACAGTAGTAAACTTTGAGTGCACAACTAGTTTACATCTATGTTTTTAGTTTGTACTGCAACTATACTAAAAGTGAACTTATAGGTATACTGATAGTTTACTAATTACATACTTGTAGTAGTTTTAGTACACCTTGAAGTATAGTCTCAGTAAACTACTAGTTTAGTAGTTTTATACTGCAAGTATACACGTAAGTTTTCTTTAAGTGAACTTTACATCATACTTTAAGTATACTACTATGTCCTTATTTAGGTATTAATTTGTATATATTTTGTTATATGAATATCTGAACATACAAATATCAAAAGAAAGAACAGGGTATCTGCTTGTAAACAAAAACATTTTATTCTAGCGTCATGCATTCTTTTTTATAAACACTTGAATGTGGGTAAGTTTCATTAAAAAAAATAAAGAAATAAACAACATTTTGAACAAAAAGCTGAAAAAAGACTATGAACTGGATTCTGAATGATAATCAAAACGTAGATGGAGTCAATCAACACCCCAAAGCTTGACAGTCATTACCTCTTCATGGGTCGACATTTTATTCAATAACGTTACACAGTTTTTTTTATTTTTATTGAAGCTTTTTGACATTTACAGGGTTTAAACATAGTTGACACATCTGAGCTAATATAAATTGCCCAGGTGGCCATTCATTTGAATTCTCTGCAAAGTACACATTAAAATACAGTATTACCAAATACATTATTACAAGAAGAAAGAAAAAAAGAAAGAAAAATTACATCCCTGTTGGGTTGTTATTCAGTCCTTCCACGCCAGGTTCCGCATTCCCAGCGCTAGTAAATGTCTCTCTCCAGCCCCAAGATATAGGTAAAGAAGGGGTCCCATACTTTATAGAATTTAAAAGGTTTGTCTTTTAATGCTGTTGAAAAAGCTTCATATGGAATAAGACCTTTGATTGTGTTAATCCACTGTGCTATTGATGGAACTTGGTCTGTTATCCAGCATACAAGTATGTATCTGGGGTTGTTATCTGGGTTGTTATGTAAGGGTGTGAGAAGTGAAAGGTGGGAGTCGAGCCCTTCTGTTCTGCGGACTAATCTCCATATTTTAATCATATTCTTAAGAATAAAATTATCTTTAGTTAGAATTCGCTGTTTTTTGGGTGAAAGATATAGTAAGTTGCGTAGAGGAATTGGCCCAAGAGTTATGGCTTCTGCGCTTATCCAAGTTGAGTTTGGATCGTTTAAGTGCCATTCCAGTATAAAACGAAGATGGGCAGAAAGCTGATATAGTTTAATGTCCGGGGCCACTGTACAAAATAACTGTACAGAAGATGTAATAGCGCCCCCTACCGGATAACAATGAAAACATGGATTCCCGGACCACAAGTATAGCTCAAATATATTTAGACTTGTTCTAAGTATAAGTCAAGTATACCTAAATGTCATTTTAAGTATATTTCTGAGAAGTACATAAAAAGTAGACAAAGTATACTTTCCTATTTTTTAGTTTAAAAGAAGTATACTAATAGCTAGGCATGGGCACTGTTCATGATGCACGAACTATTGGAAGAAAATCCTAAATATTGATTTGGGGGTTTATATGAATGTGTTTCTGAGGGGAACTGACTGTCTTCAGAAACGTTTAGGTGGTATTTTCTTTTCATCTCGTATAATTCACATTAAAGAAGTGTTTCAGCGCAGCTCTGCTTTGTTTACTGTGATAACCAAGGAAACGCTGTATCAGCGCCTCCTGCTGTCAGAGAGTGAATCTGCGTCTCGTTCAGAGCTTCTGCTGTTTGTTTCGTTCAGGCATGTAGTATAATTTCACAAAGCTAGTCAGAACATTCTGTTTTTGCTTCAAATTGGGTTATTAGGAAATCAAATTATATAAATAAATTATATAAATGATATGTATATATGAATTATATAACTAAAATTAAATAACTGTAATTACAGATTTAGGTTAAATAAAGATGTCATTCTTTATTTTTCTTCTTTTTAGGGCAGCAGTAGCTCTAGCAGCAAATCAACCATCCACATCAAAAGCTGCAGGACAGCCCACATTTCAGAAACAAATCAAAGAAAAAATAAACAAATACTACTGTTCCAAATATTCTGTATGTTGCTCAAAATATATAGTGTTCAGTTTTTTTTTCAGACATTTAAAATTA